ACTTCCGATTTTATTATGTGTTCAAAATGGCATGTTTTTTCCATTTTAATAAAATAATAATATTAATAATAAATTTCTTAAGTGCCAAATCCATCCATAAGCATGCTCAAAGCGCTTTTAAGCGCAATAAACTACAATGTCTGTTAAAAAATTTAGTCAACGTAAGATTGTTTGAACAAGTGAGTTTTTGATTTGAAACTTTTAAACTATACTCAATAGTTCATGATGTAACTTGATTGTTGATGTGACGTAAACATGTCAGTACTGCTTTTCGCAGTTCTAGTCTTTATTGTTTTTTATTTTTCATACTTCTATTATTATACACTCACATTTTCATGTGGACTTATATTGTCGTCGCTCCTGTCCGTCTGTCCATCTGTGTGTCATCTCCCCTATCCGCCAGCCACAATTTGTTTGTGGACACTCTACAGGTCACAATTTTTATCCGATTTTGACGAAACTTTCAGTATTGGCATGTATCTAAATGTAACTTGATGGATTATGACCCCTGATTGTACAAAAATTCACGTTTTTAGCTGGTGAACACTCTAGAGTTTACAATTTTTATCCAATTTTGGATATGATTATAACCCAGCGATCTTAGTTCCGTACGATATTGGCACATACCGGACCGTAACTTCCTGGATTATGGCCCCTGATTCTCCCCCAAGTCACAATTTTTATCCAATTTAAAAAAAACGTTTGAATACATCACCATTATACCATAATGACTGAACGCAACTGCCGGACAAAATGGCTGCTCCCTGTACGCAAATAGTCTTAAAGTATGTAATATCAAGGTTGTGGACTCTCTAAAGGTCACAATTTTTATCTGATTTTAATGAAACTTAAAACGTGTTTATATCCCAAAGATCATGGTTCCTTTCGATGTTCGCGCATATTGGACCGTAACTTTCTGGATGATGGCCCCTGATTGTATGAATAAATCACATTTTTAGCTTGTGGATCCTGTAGAGGTCACAATTATTTATCGGATTTTAAATATCGTTTAAATATATCATCGTTATACCCTGATGATGATGATGGTTGAGTTTGAATTTCGTAAAAATTAGACTGAAACTGCCCATCAAAATGGCCGCCCTTTAAACGCAAATAGTGTAAAAGTAATAAAAGTATGGACCCAAATTCTCACAGGGTCCAATTGAACTGAGGCCTAAATTTGCCCTGCTCTAAATTTAATGGCTTAAAAAATTCACAGAGTCATGCTGGTTAATATGATACCGTGTGGTGGTGGAGCGCGGCAACGAAATTTGATGGCCTAAATCATTGACAGGAGCGTGCTGGTTAACTTGAAACCACATGTGTTTGGGTGGATCACAGCGATGAAGCGTGATCGGCGAACACACACACATACAGACATCTTTGATTTTATGTATAAATGTAGATAGATGTGCAATAATGAGGACCCCTTTAAAATTGTATTTGATGGACTAACCTGAGAAAAAATGTCAGAAAATGGAAAACAAGATGTCAGGGTTAGATTGTTTTGACTGGACTGGTATATTACACTATGGAGTATTACAATACCAGTCATAATATTGTAGATTTCAGTATAAACATTGCATCAAATTGCAATTTCCATTCTGTTTTTGTGATGCAGTATTTTTATTTGATGGTTAAAATATTAAATATTGGCCGGCTTGCACAAAAAGAAACTAAATTCTTTTCTGTAATGTTTAATATTTAATGTTGACTGCAACCCACACTTTGTTTGTTATTTTGAATATTAAATCATGGCATTGATAAATTGATTAATGGCAATTATTGACATTTTAAAAGTGTCTACATTAAAGAGGCATTATATGCACGAGCAGAACTTGCCTATTGTTGGACATGTTTCAGGCTTCAAATGTTATATGAATTATTATTTGGACATTTATTCACATATGACAACAACTCTCTAAACCAAGGGTGTCAAATATGTGGCCCACAGGCCAGATCCGGCCTGCCAAGGGTTTAAATGTGGCCTGTGGAACAAATTTCAACAAACTGCCGTGTTGATAATTCTTAGAAACTAAATCATTTATTATTGTTTTCTGGTTTCAGTAAAATTCTGACTTCTGTACTGTATGTCATAGACAGGGATCTTAATCGGCTGTTTTTTGTCGGCTTTAGCTGCTTGAAGTTCAATCAAGCCGATTGGTAAAACAATGAACCGGCCACTATGGTATCATAAATCAATCTACTTTCGGCTAAATTACAACGGGTTAATTATTACTTGTTAATTAAGTAGTCATTCAACTTGCTTGTCGGCTACAATAAGAATCATACCTTTGTAAGAATCGGCCATGTGGTTCATAATCCGAGTAATTAGCACAAGTATTGGTAATTTTGATAATCCGGTAAAAAACAAAACACGCTTGCTGATTATTCGTAACAGGTCCAGTAAGGTGCCTTGAGGAAATAGGCCACGTGGCAATCGAAGGAAGAAGATACGATCTCGCAATGGATTGTGCATATATTGCGCTCCTTTGACGGTCCGTATGAATTCCAGATGTACCGGTAGATATTAAAATAATAATTGGATCATAATTTAATAGTTTCACTGACCAATTGCTAGTAAAATTTAAATCGTAGTTGAATATAATCCTTGGATAGAACACTGAATACACCGAGAAACAGTCATTAATAATATATTATGAATCTCCAATGCGGAATATGACACGTGACATTGGTTAGAATTAGGTCAGTAAACCAGTGATGCTAGTTTTAGTTTTAAATAGCGTTTACCGTTATGATTCTTCTCTTTTATACACATGCTGATAGAGGCTTGATTTTTAAAATATTGTCATTATTATTATTGAAAGCTGTATGGCATAATCGTATGGAATTTAATTTTAAAGCCATTTCAATTATGGTTGTCACGTGATCACTATTCCGTGTGTCTATCATAGACGAATGAATACAAACATTTGCAAGTTATGTGATAGGAAAAAAAAAACCCTACAAATTGTGTTATGAAGAAATACCATGGTGCCGTATCAACTTATATCCATCAATAAAAACGATTACAGTATAATTTATTCAGGAATGTTACTGACATGAATGTCAAGCCGGTACGTGAATTAAATATGGACAATTTTCCGAATGGTGTACCTGTTTGACGAATGGTGTACCTGTTTGACGTTATAGGCTATTTGTGGTAATTACATACAGTAGAAAACGATATTCCTCATAACAAATTACCAAGAATTATTTTTGTTGAAGTCTGGTTATATTAAAGAGAAAGGAAGCTTAAAATTTTAAAACCCAGTTCCTACCGGGACGCATTTGACCCAATTCTGACCAATTTGTTTCAAAATGGATTAAGAACCCTGGTCATAGATATCTAAGTTGTATGTAATACAAGAGAATGTTGTGTTCAATATTATATCTTGGCAATTTGTAAACCAGTCTAAAAAATTACCTGTGTTGGGGACGTTTGGCTTTGTTTATAGAATTCAGTAAAGTTCAAGGACGTTTGGCTTTGTTTTTAGAATTTTTACACGTCCACATTTTCATGTGGACATATATTGTCGTCGCCCCTGTCCGTCCGTCCACAATTTGTTTGTGGACACTCTACAGGTCACAATTCTTATATATCTCCAAAAGATCTTGGTTGCTTTCGATATCGGATCGAAACTTCATGGATTATGACCCCTGTTTGTACGAAAAATCACGCTTTTAGCGTGTGGACCCTATCGAGGTCACAATTTTTATCCGAGTTTGAATTTCGTGAAAATCGGCCCAAAACTGACAGACAAAATGGCCGCCCTTCGTTGGCGCCCTCAAATAGCATAAAATTATGGTATATCAAGGTTGTGGACCTTATAGAGGTCACAATTTTTATCCGATTTTGTTGAAACTTGAAATGTAAGTTTATAACCAAAAGATCTCGGTTCCTTTCGATATTCACGCATATCGGGCCGTAACTTCCTGAATTATGGCCCCTGATTGTACGAAAAATCGCATTTTTATCTTGTGGACCCTATAGAGGTCATAATTTTTATCCGATTTTAAAAACAGTATTATTATATCATCGTTACACCCTAAGGACGGCTAAGTTCGAATTTCGTGAAAATCGGTTCAAAATTGTCAGACAAAATGGCTGCCCTTCGTTCTAAAATAGCGTAAAAATATGGTATATCAAGGTTGTGGGCCAGGAAGTGTGTTTGAAAAAATTATCTGTTAGATTATGGGGGGTTGGATGGCTGAATGGTTAGCACGTGCGTGCTGTATCAAAAAGCCTGTTATTGAGTCAACTGGCGTGGTTTGAATCCCCGGTTGTACGTGACAAGGAGTAGGGTCGCCTGTCCAAGACCCCTACGTGCAAGCGAATTATTAAAATAAAATTAAACCATATGTTAGTCCCGAAATGAGCTAGTTTGTGTCGAGTGGACGTTAAACCCCATTTCTCTCTCTCTCTCTGTTAGATTATATAAAAACAGGTGTGTCTGCGTGTATGTTTACTTGCCTTGTAACCTATTGATGTATCAGCATTCAGCAGAAGTGCCAGAATAAGTCAATTTTAGACAAATGAAAATTTCTCTGAAAGAATTTTGAGGGAACAATTTTCTGAAAAGATTTTGGGGGGACAATTCTCTGAAAGAATTTTTTGGCTACAATTTCTCTGAAATAATTTTTTGGGGACAAAGCTCTGGAAAAAATTTGGGGGGACAATGTCTCTGAAACATGGCGGTTGGGTGGTCAAGTGGTTTAACACCTGCACATGAAATCACAGGGTCTTCAAACTCGACAAGGAGTAGGGTCGCCTGTCCAACTTCCGGTTTCTGCCCACTGCTGAAGAGTCCTAAGCTCAATGAATTATTGAAATAAAATTGAACCGTGTGTTAGTCCTCAAATGACCTCGTTTGTTAAACCCCATTTCTCTCTCTCTTCTGAAACAGGTTTTGGGGAAATTTTATGCAGACAAGAAGTTAATCAAATAGAGTCTATTATAGTTCTGTTTACAAGAATTTTCTGATTTCTGTTTGTTTTAGGTACTAGGTCATAAAGAAGGGTTAAATGTGATGGAAAGAGCTGATCCTCTTTTTCTGCTCATAGGACTTCCAACAATACCCGTAATGTTAATACTAGGAAAAATGGTCCGTTGGGAGGATTATGTTTTAAGATTATGGAGAAAACATTCAGCTAAGCTTCCACTGTTACATTATTTATTTCCTGATGGTAAGTACACTTTAAGTACATTTGTTCTTGTGGTCATGATACTTTAATGGATTCTAGTGTCAGGCCTTATTATAAAACTTTAAAATTGAAATTATTGAATTGTCAGTTTTTCAAGAGCTATCGTAGGAAACTGGATAGATAATGCAAGGTAAAATAATTTAGTAAGAAAAATAGAAAAAAATATGGATGAAGAATTGTATTTTGTTATCAGTAATTAGCCATTGAGCCATCCAATTTTTTTAAAAACAAATATTCCCAAAAATTGTTTCAATGGCACTTAGTAATTGAACTAGAATATACAGGTCACAATTCTATGGAATACAATTACTGCTTTTTACTGAGCAATGTTTTGCCTAAACCTCCTTTCAATGGCAGTGTCGCCTACCAAATCCAAACGTTACTAATGCAACAACCAGAACTAGATGTAACCTTCACAAAAAGTAACAGCACCAAAAGATAAATTATGAGCAAATGGTAAACTAAACCCAAGACAACCACTACACTGAAAGGGATGTGTTTCTCAAATAGAATGCGCGTGTGCTGTTTGTTACATTGGAGAAACAAAACGTCCATTAAACAAAATGCTCACAGTGTGAAGTCTTGCAAATTCAAGCATCCATGATTTTGAAAACTTTTTCTCACTGTTAAGAAATTTATCATAGATTCTTATACCCATCATTTCACTTCTTGATATTTGATACAGTATAAACATGTACTTATATTTGATACAGTACCAGTGGTTGCCAGGCAAGATATGCCCACAAGATGGATAGAAAACAAACTAAGTAATGGTCTGAATTGCGTGAATATCGACAAGGACTGAGATCTTTGGGATATAAAGATATATTTTAAATTCATCAAAATCGGACAAAAATTGTGACATCTAGAGGGTCCACAACTTTGGTATTACATACTTGTACACAATCTGATCACAATGAGCGGCCATTTTGTCAGGCAGTTTCATTTCAATTTTCCCGAAATTCAAACTTAACCTTAATTATGGTGGAATGGTGACATATTTTGACGGTTTTTTAAAATCTGATAAAAATTGTATCCTCTAGAGGATCCAAAAGTTAAAAATGTGATTTTTCGTACAATCAGGGACCATAACCCAGGAAGTTATGGTCTGATATGAGCAAATATCCAAATGACATCATATAAACATATAAACATATATTTTAAGTTTCATCGAAATCGGACGTGAATTGTGACCTCTAGCAGGTCTACAACCTTGGTATTACATACTTTTATACAATTTGCGTTCAAGGAGCGGCCATTTTGACGGGCAGTTACTCAATCATCATCAGGTTTTAACGATGATATATTTAAACGATTGTAAAATCGGATAAAAATTGTGATCTCTAGAGGGCCAACAAGTTAAAATCGTGATTTTTTTTGTACAATCAGGGGCCATAATCCAGGAAGTTACGGTCCATTACACTCGTACGTGCTAATATCGAAAGGATCTGAGCTCTATTGGATATAAACACATTTTTTAATCTTTATCAAAACTGAATAAAAATTATGACCTCTAGATGGTCCACAACCTTGAAGTTACATACTTGAACACTATTTGCGTAGAGGGATCTGCCATTTTGTCCTGCAGTTTCTGTCCGATTTTCACGAAATTCAAACTCACCCTTGATGATGGTGTAACGGTGATATATTTAAACGTTTGTTTTTTTTTTAATTGGATAAAAAGTTGACCTCTAGATGGACTACACGCTCAAAACAAGATTATTCATTCAATTAGGGGCTATAATCCAGGAAGTTTCGTTCCGGTATGTTCGAATATAATAAGGAACCAAGATCGTTGGGTTTAAAAGATATATTTCAAGTTTCACAAAAATTGTGACCTCTAGAATGTCCACAAGTTAAAAACAGAATTTTCGTACAATCAGGGGCCATAATCCATGAAGTTACGATCAGATACATGATAATACCGAAAGGAACTGAGATCTTTCGAAGAAATGTATTGCTTCTTAGATAAAGGCCCATCTAGATGATAACTGTATAAAGCATTTCAAAGTACCAAAACAGCTTTAACCCAGGTTTCAAATGATATTTTAATGGAAATTGATAATAGAAAATGCACATTTTTTAATTTTATTAGATTCATCTGCTGCTTTCTACACGGTGGATCGTTCTATTCTTTTATGTAGACTTCATTTTAAATTCGGTTTTTGTGGCTCTGCATTAAATCTTTTAGAAAGCTATCTTGTGGGTAGAAAACAGTGTATTTTAGAGTTAATTGTAAATCGTCGTCTGGATCTGTTTTGTCATCTGGGGTTCCTCAAGGTTCTGTTCTGGCTCCGATTTTATCTGCCCATCAGGTGCTATGATCAGAAAATATGGTCTCAGCTGTCATTTGTATGTCGATGATATTCGATTACATATTTCATTTACACCTAATTGTCCGTCTTCTCTTAATTATCAAAATTGCAACTTGAGAACTGTATTAGTGAAATTAGAAAATGGATGTCAACAAACTTTCTAAAATTGAATGATGATAAAATTAAAATCAAATATTTTTTTATTAGGCTCAAGGTATCAATTAAGTAAATTTGCACATGATAACCCCCCCTATTGTAATAGGTAATTGTGATATATTTTCATCTTATTCTGCCTGTAATATTGGTGCAATCTTTGATAGTTTTATGCTTATGGGAGCTCAAGTAAATAATATTTGTAAATTGTGATATTGTAATATTAGAAATATAGGTAAAATATGTAAATTTATAACTCTAGAGTCCACTAAGTCACTTGTTAATTCTCTGGTCACTTCGCGATTAGATAACTTAAATTCACTTTTAGTTGGTTTACCATTAAAGTTTTTAGATAAATTACAAAAAGTACAGAATACTGCAGCTAGACTTGTTACTTTAACTAAGAAATGCGACCACATAACTCCTGTTTTATATAATTTACACTGGTTACCTGTTAAATATCAAATTGATTTTAAGATTTTATTACCCGTTATAGATTAATTACAAAAAGTACAGAATACTGCAGCTAGACTTGTTACTTTAACTAAGAAATGCGACCACATAACTCCTGTTTTATATAATTTACACTGGTTAAATATCAAACTGATTTTAAGATTTTATTACTTACTTTTAAATGTCTAAATAATTTAGCTCCTGTTTACCTCTCAGATCTTTTAGAACTTTATACACCTGGCCGAACATTACGTACATCAAATAAACTACTTTTAAAGCCCAAAACTAGATAGATTGTCACTTTGTAAAGAGCCCCTGGACATGTATTGTTATAAGAAAGGGCGCACTATGAATATACTGTAATAACGATAATACTATTTCAAGTTTCGTCAAAATCAGATAAAAATTGTGACCTGTAGAGTGTCCACAAACAAATAGTTTTTAGCTTGTGGCCCCTCTAGAGGAAACCGTTTTTATTCGATTTTAAATGTAAACAAACATGCATAAAAAGTTGGAAATACCCCCAGAGTATTCACTTGACACTTTCTGGTCAGTATTATTAAAATGGGTTCGTCCGTCTGTCTGTCTGTCCGTCTGTCTGTCCGTCACACTTTTTGGGACACAATAACTCTCTTCCTAATTGAGCTAGAATGTTCAAACTTGGTGTATGTGTTTATTAGGTCTATGCCTTGATGGAGTTCGAAGATGAGCATTTTCCGCTTAGGGTAAGCAGAGATAAGCAATTTGATTGGTTGATGCTTTGGGACACGATAACTCTCTTCCTAATTGGGCTAGAATGTTCAAACTTGGTGTATGTGTTGATTAGGTCAATGCCTTGATGGAGTTCGAAGATGAGCATTTTCCGCTTAGGGTAAGCAGAGATAAGCAATTTGATTGGTTGATGCTTTGGGACACGATAACTTTTAATTGAGCTAGAATGTTCAAACTTGGTGTATGTGTTTATTAGGTCAATGCCTTGATGGAGTTCGAAGATGAGCATTTTCCGCTTAGGGTAAGCAGAGATAAGCAATTTGATTGGTTGATACTTTGGGGCACGATAACTCTCTTCCTAATTGAGCTAGAATGTTCAAACTTGGTGTATGTGTTGATTAGGTCAATGCCTTGATGGAGTTCGAAGATGAGCATTTTCCGCTTAGGGTAAGCAGAGATAAGCAATTTGATTGGTTGATGCTTTGGGACACGATAACTTTAGTTCTAATTAAGTGAGATTGATGAAACTTGGTGTATAGTTTCATTACAGTAATACCTTGACTAAGTTTGATAATGAGCATTTTCTGCTCAGGGTAAGCAGAGCGATACGCAATTTGATTGGTCGAGACTTTGGAAAACAATAACTCTCCTACTTTGATTGTCCCCCGCCTTTCGAAGAAAGCAGGGAACTATTAAAATGGGTTCGTCCGTCTGTCTGTTTGTCTGTCTGTCCGTTCCGCTTATGGTAAGCAGAGATAAACAATTTGATTGGTTGATCTTCGAATTGAGTAAATGTTCATGCTTATTGTCCCCCGCCTTTCGAAGAAAGCAGGGAACTATTAAAATGGGTTCGTCCGTCTGTCTGTTTGTCTGTCCGTTCCGCTTAGGGTAAGCAGAGATAAACAATTTGATTGGTTGATGCTTTGGGACACTATAACTTTAGTTCTAATTAAGTAGATAAACAATTTGATTGGTTGATGCTTTGGGACACTATAACTTTAGTTCTAATTAAGTGAGAGTGATGAAACTTGGTGTATAGTTTCATTACAGTAATACCTTGACTAAGATCGATAATGAGCATTTTCTGCTCAGATTAAGCAGAGCGATAAGCAATTTGATTTGCTGAGACTTTGGAACACAATAACTCTCCTTCGAATTGAGTTAAAATGTTCAAAATTGGTGTGTATGCTTATTGTCCCCCGCCTTTCGAAGAAAGCAGGGGACTATTAAAATGGGTTCAAATTAAGCGTCACAAATAGAGTGCGTGCTTTCGCCGTAAAACGGTGTCGTCTGCTAGAAAGACAAAACGTGATTTATCATCACCCAGTTGTGCAAACGAAACGTCTTTAT